AGTGAGAGGTGAGTGTGGAGGAAGTAGGGACAGTGGGGGAAAGGGACACAGGGAGACAAAGGCAAGGGGAAGAAAGAGAGGAAAGAAGAGAAGAAAAAATAGGTGAAGAGAAAGATGAGTGAAGAAGAGAGGGCTAAGCAAATTGATTGATGGACAGAATGGAAAATGGAGCTTGGAAAGAAAGCATTTAAAAAATAATATAAAAATTAAAACAAATAAAAAATAAAAATATTAAATAAGAATAAAAATATATTTGTTGTCCAAATTTCCTTCTTGTTATTGGAGAGGAATGGGTTTCTTTTCAGTTTAATGGGTATTCTGGATCTTTTCTCTGATGTCTAATCCAGGTGCTGACATTTTGTCAGGACCTCTCTCTTTGTCTCTGCCCCTTCTCAAGTTTCCTATGCTGGGCTGTGTGGCAATGGATGTTGCCCTTCCCTATTGTACTGATTTGGGGGAGATAAGCTCAGAGTGTTTGAGGTGAGGCTCTTCTTGGTGGGATGGGCTGTCTGGTTCAGTGGATTCTGTGAAGTGGTCCTGCAAGGAGTTGGTGTGTGAGATGTCGCCAGCCCCTTCTTCTAGCTGTGCAATCCTAGGAGGTAGAATTCAGCTTTTTGGTCCATCCCTTTTCTCTTGGAAGTTTGTCAGTTTTATCTCAGTCCAAGTTTCTCCAAGGTGGTAGAATGTTTTGTTTTTACCAGACTGTGACAGGGCCACCCACCCCCTGACAGGCTGGGTCAGCTCAGCATTCTTCCCCACCCCTATCAGACAAAGGTGATACTTTCCCTCCATTTGTGGCCACCAGTTTTTCTCAGGAGGTGTGCAATCTTCCCACCAGCTGTGCTGGACTATGTAGTTCCCTCCAGAGCAGATGTGCGGTGCTCCCATGGCAGGGTTGCATTTACATTCAGTGGAATAGAGTCAGGACATCTCAGGCAAATAGGAGTACATGATTCTGTGTCCAGAAATTGTGGCAAGTCCAGGACATCCCAGAAGCTTGCAGAACTTGATCTGCAGTTCTATGTGTTGCATTTTTGCAAATGAATAGAAAAGAAGCAAAAAAAAAAAAGGAAAATGGGGTGGCCTCAGGTTGCTGGTCCACAGCACCTGGGCTTCTTGGCCTGTCCTGTGCTATAAAAAGCTAATGTAAGGGTCCACTGTTGTAAATTATGTGCACCCTATTTATTGGCAGTATGTAGCTGGCAACAAAGCTGAGTTCCCTAATCCTTGCTACCACAAATCTGAAATATTCTTCTGAAAACCTGGAGCTCAGGATCCCAGGGTTCTTTCACCATCTGCCATCTTTATCTCATGTTTAAAATCCTGTTGCAACTATTTTAAGAATGGGAGGAAGGAGGATAAAGGAGGATGGTGATAATGGTGAATTTAACTAAGATATATTGCAAGCACTTATGTAAATGTCACCATGTACCCCCTGTACAACAATATTATGATAATAAAAATAAATTAAAAATTAAAAAGTTACCAACTCTATAAATAGCTCAGAAAAATTAAGCACCTATTGCAGACTATGTGGTACAATGAATATCACAAATTCATGAACTTGCATCCAGATTACTTGGCAGACTATGCATCTGGTTATGGATGTGATACTGCTAATCGTGTCTACCCAGCATTGTTTTATTTTTTTAACTCATCAGGCATGTCTGATTTATTTCCTTTTAGGTAATGTTTTTTGGAAAATTACATTTTCAAAAATCAGCCCTTATAAACAGATAATCTTTCCAAAACTAAAATCCAGTATCTAGATTCCCATAACTTACACAAGCAGGTGGAAATGTCTGATGGTCGGCCAGGAGTGTCATGCTCAAGCAAGTTTCACGTCACAAATGGTCAGCTACAGCTAATTTCAGCAGCAAATCCAAGCCCTACAGAGCACTACAGACTACAAGTGCTGCTCTCAGCTGGGCTGACAACTGTCTTATTGCTAAAGTATGCATGTTTTCTTTGGCAACATTATCAATTTAACACCACAGGACAACTATAAAGGTTTGGGTTAACTCAGTACTTAAAGTATCATTATAATTATTTGAATGTAATTTCTAAGATGCTAGAATAAGAAAGCCTCCCAAAACATGCCTAATGCCCCCACAAAGCCCCACAAAATCCTGCTAAATAGTCACTACAAAAAGATTTTCAGTTTTATACACAAGTTCCTAATTCAACTCAACTTCACCACTTGAAACATTACAAAGTTAGATCCAATTCCCCACCATATCTTCTGTGACAAAGGACAACAAACAACATCTGGGTACCTGTCAACTTTTCTGAAAGGCTGTTTCATATAAATTCAAAATGGCCTAAAGGTGGCCAAAACTTAATAGGAATTTTCACTGAAATACTTTAAAACTTATACTTAAATACTGGTAGCTTACTAATTTTTAAATTTTGTTCCATGGAATAATCCTATTTTGGAGACTTGGTGCAATATGACCAAGAAATTTAAATAGGAATCTCCAAGTCTATAAGTTTAACTAAGAAATCTTTTCTCTCTCTATAAAGAAATCCCCAACTTAAATGGCTTCCACTAAAAACTTATCACTCCAGAATTCACATACAGTAAATTAAAACAAGTATGACAGAAAGTGCAAACATATTCATGTGACACAAAAGCAACAAAGGTCAACCAGCAAAAAGTTCAACTGTGCATACACTGCCAGCACTCGTGTGCACACTTTCAGAACAGTGAGAGTGACTCATCCGGGTAATTTTATATACAGCTGTGTACAGTTTAAAACAGTACAACTAAAAAGTCGTCTATGCAAAAGCCACCATGAAGTCCAATGAAGCACTAAGTAACAGTCTCACAAGCGGGTCTGAGTTCTTAGCAGAACAGCTGCATGGCGTGGCTCTAAGAGACACCCTCTTCCTGATCGATCATTTGTGTTTTAATTGAAAACACATCTGCCAGCAAATGTTTTGGAATCTCTGAGCCCCGGACTTTGAGGGCACAACAAGAATTCTCTACTTTGGCCAGACTCTGTTCCAACGTGTACAGCTTCTTGGAAACCTCATAAGGTCCCGTGTTGCCAATGAACGAGAACCCATCATACACCTGGCATAAAAACTGGGACTTTATGGACCCATCCTTGCAGGAACAGTGGGACTTCTAGTAGGTAAAAGTGGTGTTACAAGTAAAGGAGTGCAAGTATTTCCAGGAGTAGTAGATGAGGATTATACTGGTAAGACACAAGTTTTATCTCAGTAGACGGTGCTATGGCCTTTGAAAAGGGACAATCTATAGCTCAACTGCAGTTATTGCTGTATCAACCTTTAAATAAAAAATAGCAACAATGTATAGGGGGATTTGGGAGCATGGGTACCAAACATGCCTTCTGGACACAATCAAAAGCTGAAATATCTAGAGTACAGCCATCATTATCAGTCTCTCTTATTGTATTTAACACATTGGACTCTCCTACAGTATTTTATGCCAATTTTCTTCACAACTGAATATATTAGAATGGTTAAATTTATCCAATCAAGAAAATAGTTCTCTAACTCCTTATGTTATTCTTATATGTAAGCTCATAACCCAGGGTAGACAGTGATGAAACCAGTTACTAGGATTTGATCCCCAAACTATTAGTATCCCTATTACTAAAGAGAAAATTCAGACATTATTGTCAGCAAATTCAGAATGGCAGATCACTTGTTCTGATTTTCTAGGAGACATTGATAATCATTTGCCCAGTGATAAGTTGTTACAATTGCTCAATACCACACCCTTTGTTATTCCTCGTATCTTAGTATCTCAACCCATCCCACATGCTTTAATGGTCTTTACTGATGGTTCTAGTTCAGGCAAAGCAGCCTGTACCACATATGCAGGAAAGTAACATATACAACAAACATCTTATACATCTGCTCAAAAGGTAGAATTATATGCCATTCTTATGGTTCTACAAGATTTTTCTGATCAGTCAATAAATATAGTAAGTGGTTCACCTTGTGTGGTAGGAGTCATTTGTAATATTGAAACAACAAAAATCAAACACATTCCTAACAAGCAATTTAGTTTCCTTTTCCACACTATTCAAGATCATGTTTTTTTCTGACAATATCCTCTTTTTGTTACCCATGTTAGATCTCATACTTCATTACCTGGGGCTCTTACTTATGGAAATAGTATGGCTGATATTTTGGTTTCTTCATGATTTCAACAAACTGCTAGTTCACATGACTTGTTGCATCAATCTCTTAAGTCTTTGGTAATACAATTTCTAGTATTAGGAAAAAGGCTAGATTCATTATCCAATCCTGCCCTTCTTGTCAGTTGCTACTTACTTCTGCTTCTACAGCAGTAAATCCACGAGGATTGCATGCCAACCAAATCTGGCAAATGAATGTCACACATATAAAAAGTTTTGGCCATTTGGGATTTGTTCATGTTATAGTAGATACCTTCTCTCATGCACTGTGGGCTACTTGTCAAACAGGTGAAGTAAACAGTCATGTAAAGTGGCATTGTTTAGAATGCTTTGCTACTTTGTGGATACCACATACTATGAAAACAGAAAATGGTCCTGCTTACTCAGGAAAACGTTTCTAACAGTTTTTGCTATCTGGGATATTCAACATATTACAGGGGAACCTCATAATCCTCAATGTCAGGCCATTGTGGAATGTATGAATGCTATACCTAAAAGACAATTGTTAAAACAAAAAGGGGAATAGACATGGAATCCCCACATTCTCAATTACATATGGCCTTACTGACCCTAAATATTTTCACGTCTTCAGATGATGGGAATGTGCCTTTTGAATGACATTCTCAAAAAATGTACACTAACTCCAAACGTTGCCTTTCATTATGTGGAAACACCCTGAATCAGGCCAGTGGAGGTGACCAGACAAGCTATTAACATGGGGGCATGGCTATGGTTATATTCAAGAATCTGAAAACCTAGATTGTGTTTGGGTTCCAGGAAGAAATATAAAACTATACAATGGATGGAGAGATAACCATCGCGTGCCAGATGATGTCCTCGGCCTTGGCACCAAACACACAGGCTCTGGTGGCTGACTTTGTAGGCTATAAGCTGAGGCAGAAGGGTTATGTTTGTGGAGCTGGCCCCAGAGAGGGCCCAGCTGCTGACCCATTGCACCAAGTCTTGCAGGCAGCAGGACATGAGTTTGAGACTCACTTCAGGCATACTTTCTCTGATCTAGTGGCTCAGCGGCATGTGAACCCAGTCTCAGCCCAGCAATGCTTCACCCAGGTCTCTGATGAACTTTTCAAAGGGGGGACCAACTGGGGCCATCTTGTGGTCTTCTTTGTCTTTGGGGCTGCCCTCTGTGCTGAATGCATCAACAAAGAGATGGAACCACTGGTGGGACAAGTGCAGGAGGAAATGGTGGCCTACCTGGAGACAAGCCTAGCCAACTGGATACACAGTAGTGGGGGGGCCAGGTGGGATTCACATCTCTGTACTTTAAGCTTTCTTAAATATTTTTAAATGCTTGCATTTAGCCTATTTGGAGCTATCATTATAATTGCATGCTTACTTTTGTGGTGTTAACTTCTGAGTAAAGCTAGTTATGCTTATTTTGTAACAAAAACAAAAAGGGAGACAGGTTGAAGACCATGCAGTGTAGTGAATATCAGAAGTTCATGAACTTCCAGATTGCTTTGCAGACTGGGCATCTGGTTGTGGATGCGATACTGCAAACAGTGTCCTCCCAGCATTGTTCTAAGAACTATGAATTCCTTGTGCTCATGATTGTTCCTGCATTCAATAGTGCTATGTGGTGGTTTTCAGAGCACAAAATTTTAAACATATATCCTATTTTTCCCAGAAGTTAGCTATTAAACCACATAGGCTTCATGATCAATAGCTATACACAGCAACTCCATAACTACTGAGGGAGTGGGGCACTCTGGGTCTAAGTCCTTCCTCAGATCCCAGCCTTCCCCCTTGCTTCCAAATTTCGTGCTAACTCTGAGTCTTTCTTTTCAATGCATACTTCCTCCCTTTTCTCTCTAGGTCAGTGGCAAACACCAGATAATAAATTGGTCAAATAATAAATTGGACAATGAATTGAACAGATAACTTTTGATAGGAGAAGTATAAGTTGCCAATAAACACATGAAGAAATGCTCAACATCCAAATCACAAATAAGATGACTGATTGACATCAGCTGACATTTCCTCACACATATTATTGAAAAGCTAGACTTACACCAAACTCCCTGCAGAAAGTCAGTTCTGGTTGCCCAGCAGATTTCATTCCATCAGCTTCCCAAGAACTTGCCATGGGTTCTGGTGAATACAGTTCCACAGACATGTCAAGGACTTGTGCATGGAATTCCAAGGCAGAAGGGAGAGAGCCAGGGGAAGGAAACTTTATATGGCAGATGTCCCATCCATCTAGATTGACCTTTCAGTGAAAACTGATGGGTCTGACCAACTACATCATAGAAACACCTGCCAGATAAAAGATAGAGTCCTGAGGAGCAGCATAGCCCAGCAACGAGTCATAGCTCCATCTCAGAAGTCTTGGCAGTGCAGACTGAAATGGTGTGACTGGAGAGAGTTCCCAGAAGCTAAGAGTGCAGCAAAGCAGTATCAGACCAGGAGCTGACTTGGCCCAATCTAGAGAATAGCAGAGTGACTTGGTGGGAGCTGGGGAGGCAAAGTAGGCACAAATTAAGTGGGGTAGGTTTGGGGCCTGAGAGCCCAAAAACAGATGCCATCACAGGAGCTTTCAATCAGAACTGTAAATCTTACTTATCACACTGTGGAACCAGCCCAGGGCTTTCAGCAGCCATCCTCCCACTGAGCTAAGCCTCCAAACCAGGCTGCCCTTACAGGACTAACAAGTTCAGACTAAAAAATAAACACAAAACAGCTGTGCTAGAGAACATTGAGGAAAATACTGATTTTTTTATTGTCTTTTTGATTTGTTTGAATGTTTGTTTTGGGTGATTTTATTCTCTCTCACATTCTCTTTAGTTCTGCTTTTCTTCCCCCTTTTCAGTCATATGAGAGCCACAACATCTGACTTTTGAAATTCATTGTTTAACCCTTCTCCCTCTCTGTCCTATCACTCTCCCACATTTCCACTTTCTTTCGCTCTACAATTGTTTATTTTTCTTCTGTCTCTGTTCCCCAACACACAATCCTTCTTTTTTGCCTTTATTCTTAACAGGTAGCTAGATTGTCAGATAAAGGTTTTATGCTATCTTCTTGAAGTGTCAGATTTTAACCCTTATAGTTATGTGAGCCACTCTGTGATTAATTTTTGTAAGTTAAAGATCTGAATTCATAGTTGTGTTCATCTTGTATGGAATTAATTGAACTATGTGAATTGCAGATCTATAGATTTATGTTTCTGACCCAATTGTGTAAGATTTTTTGAAATTGTTTCTTTAAACAATTCTCTCTCACATTCTTCTTTTTTCTACTGTGACTCTCTTTACGTACAGTGTCACACCTCATGGTGTTACAGGGGTCTTGGTGATCATCTTCATCTACTTTCTGTTTAGGCTGAATAATTTATATTAATCTTCCTTCTTGTTTGGTATCCTGTATTCTACCCTCTGAGATCTGTTTTGAACATCTGTATTCAATTAAAAAATTATTATACCTTTTAATGATAGCATATAAATATAAATATAGAAAAATGTAGATATAGAAAAAACAGAAATACGATTTCTATTTTTAAATTGGGTCTATTTTGTCATTGAGTTTCTCAAATTCTACTTGATTTGGATATTAATCCAGTGTTAGATGAATAGTTGCAAATACTTGTCCTGTTTTTAGGTTGGCCCTTCCCTCTGTTGATTGCTATTTAGTTTGAGGTAAACTCATTAGTTCATTTTTGCTCCTTTCTATGTGCTTCTGGAGTCATATAAAATCATTGATTACACCAATGCCTTGAAATGCTTCTACTTTGTATTCCTCTAATAGTTTCAAAGTTTTTAGTCTTACATTTGCATCTTTGATCAATTTGAATTAATTTTCCTTTTCTTGGTGGGACTGGTGCTTGAACTCCAGGATTCACACTTGCAAAGAAGGCTTTCCTCTGCTTGAGGCAGACCTCCATTCACGGTTGTTCTGGTTATTTTGGAGATGGACTGTCATGAAGTATTTGCCCAGGCTACCCTCAAAACACAGTCTTCTCAATCTCCGTCAACCAACGAGCCAGGATTACAGGCATAAGCCAACAGCACCCTGCCTTATTTAAATATTATACAGAGTGAGTGACACTGTCAAGTTGCTTTTTTTGCATGTGAATAACCAGTTATCTGAGTACCATTTGTCAAAGAGACTTTCCCCCCAGTGTGTGTTTTTGGTGGCCTTTTGAGAATCTGTTGGATGTATATGCATGGGTTTGTTTCTAGTATCTGTCTCTTTCACTGGTCTATGCTTATGTGTTTATGCCAGTATCATGCCGTTTTGGTTACTATGTCTCGAGAGTATATCTTGAGTCAGTTATTGTGATGTCTTTAAATTTATTCTTTTAGCTTGTGGTTACTGCAGCCTTTCAGGGTTTGTAAATTTGTGTGATCATTACGGAGATTAGTATGGAGGTTCCCCAACAACCAAATATAGGGACAGGCTCAGTGACTCAAGTCTGTAATCCTACTTATTTGGAAGGCAAAGATTGGGAAGATCACAGATTGATTCTTTAAATTTTTTCTTATAAGTTTGTTCTTAATGTATTAATGTTTTCTGAGAATGACTTATTTTTAAGTATTTTGGCCAATGTCACTACCCAAGTCCTCAGAGTATCTGATTTCCAATGTGAAATCTTAATTAATAATTCCTTAGACCCATGGTATCTACATTATATCAAAAAAATTACACACAAAAAAGTAGGGACCTATCGATTCTGTCACATAATGCAGCAACTGAAGTTGTCCATCTGTTGGAACACAGGAATAGACTTCGATAGCTGCAATGGGGGAGCAAATTAAAGACGACCCTCTTCAAAACAGTTCCATGCTTGAAGACAAATGGCTTGCAACAACAGTCATTAGATGGCCCTGTGTCCACTCCTGATGAAACATGGAGACCTAAAAACCAAGGGAAACTGAAAACAGTAGCATATCTTATGACAGATCTCAGTGACTCTTGGTAGTTTATATTTTCTATAGATTTTCAGCATCTATTAGAATCTTTATAATGATTTTTTTGGAAGAATATACATAGTATGGATTCTGGGAAATCTAGAAATTTTTCCTGTTTTCCTTGTGATTCATGGCTCCTTATGTTAGAGGAATAAAAGGCATTTTTTATTTTTTGGTGGTACGGGGTTTGCACTTAGAGTCTCATGCTTGCTAGGGAAGTGACCTATCACTTCAGCTACACTCTAGTCCTTTTATCTTTAGTTAATTTTCAGATTAGGTCTTATGTTTTTCACCTGGGGCCAGCCTTGACCTATGATCCTCCTACCCACGCCTCCCACATAGCTGGAGTTATAGTTGTGCTCAACCATGACCAGCTTGTTTTTCTCTCTCTCTCTTTCTCCCTCCCTGTCTCCCTTCCTTGCTTTCTTCTTTCCTTCCATCCTTTCCTACTTTTTACTAGCATACATTAATAGTACAAGGAGGATCATTGCCATAATTGCATCAATGCATATAACATACTGTGAATAGGTTCACCTCTGTATTATATAGACTCTCAGTAACTTTTTTGTCTAGGCTAGTTTTAAACTACAATCCTCCTATCTCTGCCTCCTGAGTACCTAGGATTACAGGCATGAGCCACCACACCCTGCCTGAGTTACCTCATGTTACTCCATAATTGCTTCATTATGGGCAAAGTGAAGTGCTTGTCTATATTAGGAACCCACCAAGTTTCCACTACCTGGTGGATCCATGGTTGATGGACACTATAAAAGGACAACTGCAGCAATGGTAGTCTAACAAGAACAATTTTAACAAAGGGTTTATCTGTGCACAGATGAAGTGAACTACCTCAAGCAGTCTAGGTCAGCAGAGTTGTGCCTGAGGATGAGGGCAATTAGAATGAGAACTAGAGAAGACTGACTGTTAGCCAGGAGTGAGAGAGCTGCTGTAGGTGACCATGGCCTTCATGCTGGAAGTCTTGTATGTGAGTACGTGTGCATGTGAAATTGTGCACAGACACCACTTTAAAGAATGTCAGTCAGTAGTAAGTGAAATTAGGTGGAAGTGCATATGTCTTTAAAGGTGAATACACCTTTGCATTTATGGTTACCAAATTAGATGTTTGTCTACTGATATATGAAAGGTTGCTGACAGCTTGCCTGTGGCTTCCTGACATGCACAGTGCTGGGGCTGGGCAGCTTGCACGTGTCAAGGATCCAGTGCTCTTACTGAGCATAAAGAACCCATATAACTTGCCTGTCTATTGTAAGTCAGCAGATCTGCATCTCAGTTGTGTTTATCAACATAAGAGTCACTCACTGCTCAGTGTCACTTCCACACTCCTTTATAGGTGCTTCTAAAAGTTACCTTCCAAGAAAGTGT